ATGTTACGTGGGTCACGCAGGGAACTGTGAATCACCTGCGAAGAGCAGCTATTCTTGCCGATGCTTGGAAGGTACGCGAAATCTTATTCCATTCAGTTTTGCATAAGTATGCGAAAACGGAGGTAATCTCATGCTTTCTCTGTATTGTACTTTGACACCAACGGTCGACGTTAAGAGCAATGATCTATCAGAACATAGATTCAGTGGATTCCTCTTTATTGGGACACGTCGGTTCCAGGTCAATATTCCCCAATAAAGCAAACTTACCTTATAGGTTAATAAGAAACCCATACATGAATGTCCTTCACTTGTGCAAGAACAAAAATTGCGATTCAAGTAATGTGTCATAGTTGCTTGTTTCATAGCTTCTCTAAAGCATCAATGTCAAGAGCACCGCTATCATCCAAACCCTGCTCAATTTAGTAGCACTGAAGGATGTCCACCGAAAGCTCTTACGTGACCTCTTACGCGAGTCACTTTAGGTAAAGATTCCAGCTCCTTGTGTCTGCCTCTTGGCAACGATGTCTTTGACTATTTCGTCCTCAAAGTCATTGTGTAATTTGTCAACGGTGCAATTTCGTCGATGTTGACGTAGGCTCCTCCGCTAATGATATCAATAATGGTCAGAACCCCCTTCATTGGCTAACGCTGGCTCCTCTGGTTAGGAATAAAAGCCAGATCCACAGAAGCAGTTTGCGATGGTCTCTGCCTCAGCAGTCGGCCAGCTCTTAATCACAAAAGACATGGCGAAGAGAAGCGAAAGATTCGGCGGAAAAAACCCATATAGGACCGACGGCAAAAGTTCATCTCGACCGTGCCCCGATGAAGTGGATGTACGTTCCGAATCTGCAGGGAAATTTAAATGCACTTGCATAGAAATTGTTCAGTTCCAGACAAAATGACCCCTTGAACTGGCTGCCCCATTAACCGATGACCCAATGAAGCGGAATCCACTGCATATCAATAAATCATAAGGGTACTCGAAGCCTCCAGCTTCACTTGAGCAGATGCAGGCGAAAGGTAGTTCCACAAGAACTTATTCTCCGGTCCCACCCACATGTCACTTTGTCTCCCTTTTTTCAGTCACGTCCGCTGTATGGTCATCAAGGGGGTTTTGTTCCTGCAATCGCCTACAATTTTCTTTCAAATTTATCATGACATTTAAGCACAGAAGAAATTGTCAAGAACTTCTTGATTAAATCATGTCCTTCATTTAAAAGTATTTTTTAAAAAAGCTTCAGCAATAGGGAGACATACTGAGGAATAAGGGGGAATTCACT